ACTGCGACTGAAACAGATCCCTAGGTAAACTGACACTAGAAACATTCTTGATCACTGATGTCTCCCCAATAACTACTATTTTTTATTATCTATTGTTAAAGAGGTTTTTAATCCCTCTAATGTGTGTTGTGTTTATTTAAGTATTCTTTTTCTTAAAAATCAAAATTGGTCGCTTGGATGAATTCAATTGGTTGAGCAATGTTCAACTGTATCAGTATTGTTTTGTACAATCTTGTCAAAGTAGACAAGACAGTATTTGTCTGAAAAGATGTATATTACCTTATACAAAGTCACACTGAATAGATACTAATCCATTTCTTCAGATTCTAATGTTTTTTAAAACATTCCAAAATTATTTTTATCTTGGCTCAACATATGGATAATCAGTTTGTAGCTCATTGGGTCATACCTTTCATTTTTTCAATAGTGAATCCTGGTGGACAGCATTCCAGCCTTCTGCAACTCCCCTAGCTTACAAGAACTGGCTAAAACTTAACATTAATGAATAAGAGCTCCATGCTTTGGCTATTATCTTTGGACATACCTTATCTAGATCTGCTGGTTTTTAAATATTAGTGAGCACTGTCTCATCCTCCTTTGTTATAAATTATATACAAAACCAGATATGGTACAAATACCTCCTGTTACATCATAAACACAGCAAGCTGGGGTTTCTTCTTTGTTTTGGGGGGTTTTTGTGTTTTGTTTTGTGTGGTTTTTTTCCCCCCAGAAACACACAACTATTGCCCAATTTTATATTGGACCTACACCTAGATCTTTTCTCTTTGCATGTAAAAAATTGACGCCTTCTCTGAACCGACATCACCGATATCTCCATGATTAGCACATTTCCTTTCTCACCTGCTTCTTTGTTTAAGTTTGCAATTGTATTCACTGCCATTTACTTCCTCCTCCTCTTCATCCTCCCTGCCTAATGTGCAGAATGCTTTGTGTTTTATTAACACAGTTTCAGTGACTGTGGAATCATGCCTTCTTGGCCATCAGTGTGATTTCGTTGAATACTTTATAGCTTCCATGAACATTTTCCTTTTAAAGGTACCTTCCTGGGCAGTTATCCTGCCAGTTGTTTAAACTCGAAGAAACAGACTCTTCTAAAGCTCCTTACATTACTACCTGATGCCATATTCTGTTTGCATAAAGTAAATACAGACAAATAACAATCACTGGTACCTAGGCAACCGTGGGATTTCAGGTCAGCTATTACCTCTTCTTTATCTGCTACAACAAGGTCAACTATTGATTTATTCCACAGTGGGTGCAGAACTGTGTGCATTAAAAAATGACCTATTCCTTCTAGAAGCTTTCTGGAAGTCTTGTTATTGGCATCATGAAATGTCAAGTAAATATTACCTGTTTTAAGCAGACTATTTTATTTGCCTCCCTATAAGAAGCATATACGTAAGGAAGTGTTTGTTCCATTCCTGAGGTTATCTCAGGGACCTGTTAGAAACACGTAATAGGTGAGAGATGGTTTGAAACCCGAATAACTTGAATTTGTCAGGAAATCCTCATGTCTGCAGCTCTCGCAAATAGTGAAGGTTTAGAAAGCGTTATGTAATTTCCATTTAATCACACATGGGACAACACGTCTGAAGTCCACCTCTACTCAAGTCTGGACAAAAGCATTAGCTAATGTTCTGCGCCCCAGGACCGGGCTGACCTCTCGCATGCTGTTCCATCCTCAGGGGACTTCTTTACTCTCTCCCTAACATCACATTTATTTCTTCCTCCACAGCTTTGCTGTCTACCCAATTCCTCTCTTTGTACAGTAGTTTGGGAAAAATCACTCCAGGCAAGGATTTTGAGTCTCTCAGACACGACGTTGAGGAGATGTGACCTGACACACAGAAGGGAGAGGGAGAAGATGGGGGTTACAAGCTAGCCACAGCTGAAGACTCAGACAACCATGAGTCCCCTGTAGGAGAAAGGGTAGGTTTCAGTGAGTCACCCAAGGGAAAGCATCCTGATCCTGAAAAAGAAATAGAAGCGAGGAGGATTCAGAGAGAAACGCTCTCCTGCTTGAGGCTCTGAGCAAGCTGAGAGAAGCAGCAGTGAGAGAAAAAGGGCCAGGTGAACTAATAAGAAGTTTTATAGGGAATATACCACTTACCCCAGTTAAAAATCACATCGCTGTGCTGGAACTAGAGATGATGTTTAGAGAAAAAAATAAACCGACAACAAATAACTTGGGGAACAACAGAAACCAACTCATACAGTGTATTTCCCCACGCCTTCTATGTACAACCATTTGGGCTCAAAAAACAGTGGAAAACCTTAATGCAAGCAGTTAGGCTGCATTTTCTACAAGTCACTTCTCAGGACAGCAGTTCATTCCCATTGCCTGGGTGCCCTCATCTGCAAATCAGAAGCAAGAGTCACCAGGACAGAGATGTTCTTGTCATTCCCATTTCATCCACATCCCCCACACCAGGAGCACAGGGAGGAACAGCATCAAGGTGAATGAGCGTGAAAGGGGCCAGTCGTCAAGCCAAGCACTGGATCTCAAGGGAAGGGGCAGCAGCAACGTGGAACAGTTTATGTAAGCGATGCAGCTCCCAGGAGAGGGGAGCAGCAGTAACACAGAGCAGGACGTGCTAAATACAGATTGTAGCAGGTGGTCCAAGAACTGGCTGTGATTTCAGCAACCGGTTTATCCAAACCGGACGGAACTGCCTACCGCACAGCCCTGCAACAGCAAAAAGCAAGCTAAAAAACACAGAGTAGAACAGGCGACTGAGAAGATTCAGCAATCACAGATTGCCAGGAGATGAGTTTCACCCTCAAAAACATTCCCACAGATGTCAAGAGTGTGACAATCTAATGTATGAACAACACGGAAGCAAACCCAGGCCTCTTGCAACAGAATCACAGAACCATAATTTTGGCTGGGACCTACCTCCAGAGGTCATTTAGTACAACCCCGGCTCAAAGCAGGTCTAATGAGATCTGGTTGGCCAGGCTGTGTCCAGTCAAGTCAAATACCTTCAAGGATGGAGGTTCCACAACCTCTCTGTGCAACATGTTCCACTATTTAACCATCCTCACAGTAAAAAAAAAAAAAAAAAAAAAAAAAAATAAATTCCTGATATCTAATTGAGATTTCCCATGTTCTAACTTGTGTTTGTTGTCTCTCATCTCATCGTTACACACAACCAAAAAAGAATCCGGCTACATCTTTTCTGTATCCTCTGATCAGACAGTTGCAGACAACAAAAATATCCCCCCTCTGCTTTCTCTTCTCAAAGCTGAACAGGCCCAGGTCTCAGACTCTGCTCACATGCCATGTACTCCAGCCCTCTGACCATCTCAGTGGTGCCCACTGGGCTTGCTCCAGTATTTCACTTACATGAAGTGCACTTCTTGCCCTGGAGAGCCCAAACTAGACACAGTATTCCAGATGCAGTCTGACAACTGCTGAAGACGGGGAGGATCACTTCCCTGGGCCTGCTGGCTACTCATTAACACAGCCCAGGACACGGTCAGCCACCTTTGCCGCAAGGGCAAGCTGCTGCTTATGTTCGATTTGCTGTCCATCAGGACCCCCAAATCTTTTACTGCAGAGCATCGTCCTAGACAACTGGCCCCCAGCCTGTACTGCTGCAGGGGTTATTCCCTCCCAGATGGAAGGCCTGAAACTCACTCTTGTTGAGTATCTTAAGATTCCTGTCAGCCCGTTTCTACAGCCTGGCCAGGTCCCTCTGAATAGCAGCCTTGCCCTCCTGCATTTTGACCACTCCTCTCCATTTGGTCTCATCCACGAAATAGCTTCTTATGGACACAAAAAGCTTCAAGAACAAGGAGCAAAAATCTCTCACAACTGGGACTCTTGCTGAAGACCATCAGTGAAATTTTTAACATTTCTGCACATTTTGTGCACTTTGTACTGTCCAAACTATGAACACATAAGCCCAATTCTTCTCTCATTTATAGCAGTCTAAGCTTGAAGTCCATGAATTTGACACTTTTACAATACTGTAACACTACTCTCCATGTGAGAGTGAGTGTGTAGGTGCATGCATACACACCCACACAGATGGCTCAAGAGATGCAACAACTGAAACAGGAATACTGCAGGATTTGGAGGAACAGCTGGCTATGCAGTTAGGACCAAGGTATACACTCAAAGCCAAAGGTGGCAAGAGGAACCTTAGCTTCGGTCTTTCCTGACTTGAGTCCTCTACACTGCACCTTAAACAGGCAGCAACTGTTAACTTTGTAAATAATAAGAAATATTTCTGAGGACTTTAAAACATGCCCTCAACCAAGGATGCTACCATCATATCAACAAGTCAAATATTCCTGATGATGATGATATATAAATAACTTGACCTGAAGGCTAGGTCATGAAGCATCTAGCTCATTTATTTCTGTGTTCACATGGAATGAGTCACCACCTATACTCATGTGAGCAAACTCTTCCTCAAAGAGCTTATAAATTGAGAATGATAAATAGCATACAAAGATTAGGGAAGACATACATTCTGTTTCTTTTGACCAAATAGTTTATCATACACAATGTGAAATACCATCTGACTTGCACTAGCTTTTCCACATGCAATTGCTAGTTGGCCAATTCCTTGCAGCAATTTTTCATCACAGAAGTGGATCATGAGGAAAGACATAAATATTTCAACAAGTTTCTAAGCAACTGAAAAACAGTGCTTTGCAAGGGATATATTAAGTCAATGTTTAATCCTAGTCTTTACTCGGAAATAAGATGAAGTTTCGCTCTTTTTTTTCCCCAAACCAATTGTTAGGTTACGCTGAACATCTTGATATGAACAATACAGTTATAGTTTTCATGTGTATTTACCAGCTGAGGTAAACGCTACCAATTGTCCTAGTCCTGCAAATATTTTACAGTGTGCCAACTAAATTGAGGAGGAAGGGCTTTTCATTCACATGAATACACCAGCATCATGTGTCCCACCTGTGGGGAAGGAGAATCTGCCATGCCTTAAAAGGCACTGCTAACTTACCCCAAACATCTGCCGAAGGTCAGGATCTCGAAAGCGGAAGGGAATGTTAGACACATGAAGTCGTTTTGGAGTGGATTTGCTCTCGGTATTCTCACTGCTCTGTGTCTGTGATTGCTGTCCATCTGTCTGTGCCCCTCCTTCTGTCTGCTGAAATCAGAAAGACAAAAGTGTCTGCATGAATAAAAACCACACAAACTCCTTTCACGTGCTTTGTCTATCTCTTTTTAGGTATTAGTACTACGCTTGCAATTTGGTATCTAGCACTTGACAATTATTTTGATAAAGCCAGTAACGCTTAACAATTGATCTGTTGTTCTTCCCCTCCCTTTCCATGAGTAAACGGTAATGAGATCTCAGCCTCCCTCCCCTCATATCTCCTTTTAGCTTAATAGATTTGCCTTTGGTTTTCTTAAATTGCTTCTCTCTTTTTGCCTGTTCTTCCTCACTTCAGCTGCCACCATATGAAAGCTCTAATGAAGAGGCGGATCTTTCATATCCTGAAGCTGGGAGGTAGTACCGCCACTCTAATCTCATGTGGCAGGATGTTCATACAATCATCAAAATCCCACAGCTGAAGTGGCAGCTCTTCACTGGGCCAATACCAGAAATGCATCCCCAGGCAAAACGGCATCTGCTCTGTCAAGCTCCCTTCAGAGAAACATTACCCCAAAAGAAGATCCATAATTAAATGGTAAAATCCATATATGAACAGCTTATGGATGTCTTTGATTAACTTTTCTCATACATTTAAAAGTCAGCCCAGGGACAGGAAACAGTCATTACCACTGCAGGATTTATAAAAACTCCAAGTGCTACTTTCTGCTACCAATTCCACAGCTAAAACAAGGGAATTTGTTCCAGCATTCCCAAGCACTGACTGGTACAGCGAAGCCAGGTCAAGGGGTGGGCCAGGGGTAGTTGTGCACAGAAAAAGTACAGCAAGAAGGCAGAAGAATAAGGGAGACCAGTGTGCCAGAGGAGACCTAACACCCCCACAGAGATGACTGGCAGGGGAGAAGAAAGGAAGAGAACCTCAGCCGCTTGTGTTGGGCTTAGACTAAGAAGTGGTAAAGTTTGAGCACAGCGCTAAATATAAAGGCAAGGCCCCTTTGCAAAATGGCTTGATGAGAAAATGGTATTTTTCACACTTTAGTCAGCAAAATGACCTCAAAAACTCAGAGCTACAGAACAAAGTAGACTACAATTTGGTCGGTTTTATTGCTCTGTCCCTTTCTAAGAGCATGCATTGACAGGCCAAGGTATTGAAAGAGCACCCACCCACTCACTCTATCTCCTGCTGCTTGCCTCAACCTCCCAGGAGTCATGCTTTGACCACCTGTGTGATACACTTTTAAGTGTCATTTCATTTCTTCAGATGCCAACCTGACTTCTTCCTTAACCCATCAAGTGAAAAGAAGTTCTATGAGAAGGCAAGGACCATGTAATTGCTAGAGTCAGCCTTTTTTAGGCACCTTCAAGAACACACGCAGGCCTTAAAAATAAAGATTTAAGAGTAGGGGGGGGTTTTTTGCTATTTTGGGGCCTTCCCCCCCCCCGTTTTAAATACACAGTTTGTGTACTGAAGAGGAAAGAAATCTCGTGGGAGTTGCCCACACTGACTCCCCAACCACTGTCTGGACTTGCTAGACTGCTCTGCACATCATTCAATGTACAACACTTAATGAATATTTGGAAAGAAACATCTCCCCACAGATAAACTAAACCGGCAACATTAAGAGAGCTTCTTCTGGCCAGAAACATCTCTTATAGACATGACCTTGAACTTGTATATTGGTTATAAAGCGCTGACAAGAGCAAGCAAACAGTAAGCACTGGGGTTTTGTCGCGCTAAGCAAAGTAGTGGCAGCTCTGTTTTATTTTAGTAGGGCTGCGCAGGCAGCACAAAACATGTTTGATGTGGTTAATATAAATTAAGCTGTGATAGGAAGAATGAAGATACCGCCCTGAGAGTATCTCTACTTCCCAGAGCTGTGCAAGTCTCAGGAAAAACCTAGCAGGATGAAACATTTTTATTTGGCTAAGACTCATCCATCCCCCAAACAACAAATTTTTGAGAACAACCTCAGAAACTTCCATTTGATCGTATCTAAAAAGTTGCCTCCCTCTCTCCAAGTTCCCCCTCTTCTCCTACCCTCACCCCTATGACAAAATGCATCTCCAAACATACAGAGAGTGCACCCTAGGGGAAGAATCGATGCAGCTGGCTTGCAATTCAATCACACCATGCTATTTGGTGGTTTTATTTTTATGACTCCATCAGAGTTCTTTGCTCCTCAGGGCAAATCTGTCCAAGAAGGACAAAACACAGGAGTAGCCTATCCATCACTACCATACACAACACCTGCAAGTGAGTGCTCCAAAATAACTCCCCAAAATCATCAACGCTCCTGCTAAAAGGGATCTCTACAATCCATTTTGAGCCCTGCTAGTGCAATTTGCCAAATCCCATGTTTTCTATGGCTTTGCATGGAATTGGCAAGTGGGCAAACACCCATGCACACAGGTGCATCCTCAAACACACTAGTGCATCTTCTGCAGTGTGAATGAGGAACAGCACAGATTCTGAAAGGTGACGACAAAAAAATGTTTTCGTCTTTAAATTCAAATACAGGTTGCACAGGACTGGATCTGCCACTTCCACAGGGGAGGAAGCCGGGAGGTCATTAGCACTCCTATCCCATCCATTTGTTCACAGGCAGAGGGCAGAACTCCTTTCTTACCAAGGGTGCGATGTATCATGTACAGTGGCCTGCTCAAAACCACTCACAGCTGCTCCTGCATATGGCAGAGTGCTGCTGCCACACAGGAGTCACTCTGCAGCATGTGAGATGTGTACAGTAAGACAAAGGCTTCAAAGAGGAGAAACAATAGGAGGAACAAGGGATCTCAGTCCACTCTTACCTTTTTGACTGCACTAAGAGTCCCCAAATGCTTTTCAGGCTTTCACATATCCTGATTTTTCAGCAGTAGTTTAACATTCAATACCTTCTCTCTCTGGATGCTGTAAGCTCCCTCATTTCTATCCTCCATGGCCCTAAGGTAAGATTTGAACTTTCAGCCACTATAACATTAGCTCAATACATTTGTCTACTGCCACACATTCAGCTACAACTTAAATGAAAGAAATGGTCTCCTCAGATCTTGGCCCGCCCCCCCCCAGTTATTCCTTGTCTTAATTCATTAGGAAGGAGATGAAAGGAAGGGCCTAGAGCCTGTTCTCAGGCAGCACGTAATGGAGACTGGCAACAGCGCTACCCTGACCAAGCCACATGATAAAAGCCCACATTTCACCAAGTGCCTACTCCCCACCCCGACTCCTTCCCCACACCGAGTTTCAGCTCCTTCCTTCTGGCCTCACGTCAACACTTCACAGCAAAGAACCAGCCCTCTCCCTTCGCTACAGACAGCGATTCAGCTCAGAAGGGAGCTAATACATGTTCCCTAGGTCTCAATGCCTGTCATCAGGCAACACAGAGACATGCTGCGGCAAAGATCCTGCGTTTAGAAAGAGTATTGGATCACCTTACCTCCTCAGCATAGTCTGCGTAACATACACTTATGCAGGTGATAACGTCATTCATGCCTGCACATGCAAGCTTTGAGCTCTGCTCAAGGTCAGTGAGAAATGCATCAGAGCTCAGGACGCGCAATATATGCTTCAGTTGTAACTACCTGCTGCCTGCACCCCCGTGCCAGCTCCTCCCTTACACTCACCAGCAGTAAGGAAACCCTAAGCAAGAAGAGGCAGCTGCAAAGAGAAGCATGGATGTATACATGTGCACATATGCATGTAAAAGGGGAGGAGGACACCTGGCAACACGAGGGTGTTCTGAAAGGTTTGGGGGCAGCTCTACAACCATCTTCCCACCTCTCGACTAGACTCTTCTGTCCTAAAGGAGCTGGTGAACAAGCAATTGCTGAGGATTTCTCCTCAGCAGGAGGGAGGCAGGGGCTCCAGTGCCACCTGAGCTCCGAGCAATCTCCATCTGCATGACCAGACAGAGGGCTACCTCCCCAAAGAGCCAAACACCAATGCGATGGGCCAGCACAGAGACTATTAATACCCAGCACATTCTGTTTCCATCTCCCACTTGCTTCTAGAACTGGAACCGCTTCAGGTCCGTTACAGAAAAGCAAAAAACAACCCCCCATCCTCTCCCCCAGGAAGCAGGCAGTCCAAAATGTTGTGAATCATAATGAGGAGGTTAAGAGCCATAAATCACTGCAAAGAAAATATTTACAAAATACAAACTGTAACTAATAACTATATTTAAAAGGGGACTTGGGTGGCTTACAAAATTTGGGAGACAGAGTGTGCTCACTCCACTGCTTCTAGACCAGTCTCAGACAAAAAAAAGACCTTGTTTGGATCAAGAGCTTGAGGAACTGTGTGGAGACAAGGACTGAAAGCTATGACTGGCAGAAGGCAATCTTCCCACCACACACAGGAGAGTGCAGACAACATGGGAAGATCTCTGCAACTTCTAGTGAAGAACCCACATCAAAACAGCCAGTCACCCACCAATGAACAGATATCCACTGAGCAGGTTTGGTGGAAAAACGAGTGAAGAATTAGGCACTAGACACAAAACCCCTCTCCTGCCCCACCACACTCTACCAGAGTAGGACTGAGATCCGACACATCCAAGAGCAAAAGGCATTGGAACTTCTGCTGCTTAAACGACACTTGTTTAGCAGACAGAAGACTGCAGGGCTAATAATCACCTTTCAACAGCAGTAAATATAATTTTAGAATTATATCAATGTACTTGATTTTTCAGAGATGCCAGCAGTGTTATATTAAAAAAAAAAATTGGGCTACACTGCAGGCACAATTAACAGTGTGCCCAAGTACTTTATATGCCAAAAACTGGACAAAAAAATTGCTACAGACATATCAAGTAACTTCTGCTAGGCTGTTAACTATTTTCAATATAGTCAGATTAATTCAGGGCACATTTTCTGATTGTTAGTTACCTGTTTTCAGACATACTGAAGCTTAAGTCATTTTGTTCACTTTCCTCATTAAATAAAGACATACCCCACCTGGTCAGAACACAAACCTAACATAGGAAAGTACATAGGAAGCTTTGCTACCTATCCTGCACAACGAAGACATCTCTGAT